CAAAAGAGAAATGGGAAATGGCTTGAAGTGGAAGGAGCTTGATGACGGGGGCAATGTTCACCTCTTCACAGCGGAGACAGGAAAGTATCCTAGTGTGGGTTACTCAAAGGCTGGCATCATCAGGCTGGCATCATCAGCATGACTGGACCCAAGCATTGCTGCATTCGTGATGGCAAAGGACCCTGGACATCCGCTGTGGTTTGCGTGTGGCTTGGATGTGTGCCCCTGAAGGATTCACACATTGAAATTTGATCCCCATTGTGAGGTGTTACGAGTATGGAAATGTTTATACACCTCTGTGTTTAGAGGAGGCACTCTGGGAGCCGATGCGACTCCATGAGGTCACGAAGATGGAATTCCACTATTGAGCACTAGTGGCTCTGTAGGAAAGAGAGGCCCGAGCAGGGACACACACATCTGTTCCACATCGCTCAGCAGGTAATGTTCTGCAGCAGCCAGGAAGGTCGTCTCACTTTGGGACCAGAACCCTGAGCTAAATAAACTTCTTAAATAAAGTTATACAGCCTTAGGCACTTGGTTAGAGTCATGGAACGTAGACTAATCCCCAAAGCAAAACAAAGAACGATAAAGTCTGAAAAGTCAGAGTCTCTCCTGACCTCTGCTTCCCATCAGGTTAAATCACCTTCCAAACACTGTAAGTTAGCATGCCCTGACCCTTCTGAGAACACAGAAAGTCCAAGCATGACGAAGGGAACGCTCTGTGTGTGTGTCTGTCTATCTGTCTCTCTGTCTGTCTGCTGTCTCCCTTTTTTTCTCCCTCCCTCCCTCCTTCCTTTCTTTCCTTTCTCCTACCTTCTTTCTCTGGACCTTGAACATATCTGTGACACAGAAAATATGACATCTTGCCAGATGGTGGTGGCGCACACCTTTAATCCCAGCACTATGGAGACAGAGACAGGCAGATCTCTGTGGGTCCGAGACCAGACTGGTCTACAGAAGGAGTTCCAGGACAGTCAGAACTACATCCAAATACCCTGTCTTGAAAAAACAAACAAAAGAAAAAAAGAAAACATGGCACTTGACAGTGGAGACAAAATCAAGGCTCAGCCAACTATGTCCCGAGGGCTGAAAGTCAACTGTGGTCTGGCTTTGTATATTCACCAGATAAAACAGATTTAATATCTCAGATCCTTGTGAAAAGGGACCAATTAAAAGGACATTTCTGTTAGTTTGTTGCTGCTGTTGTTATTGTTTAAAAGCCAAACCAGAACAAAGAAAGATAATCCTCTGAAATGAAAATGTGGTGGTCCTTTATAGAAAAAGTTGGCAGAGCTCTGTTTAAGAGGGGATTTTTTTTTTTTTAATTTAGCTGAGCACACTGGGAACACATGGAAGAGGTAGAAGTTTTATTCTCAAACCAGGGAACTTTCTGGAAGTCATTTCACGGCAAGGGAAAGCGTAAATGAGCACAGCAGATGGGACAAAAGTCGCAAGATTTGTAGAATATTATTATTTAAACATTACTCTATGGCTCTCCATGTTAGTCTGTAGGGCACCCCTTAAAAAATAAAACAAGCCAACAAACAAAAGCTCACTCTGGACTAGGTGGCTTCCACAACAGCCATCTACTGTCCCCCGGTCCGGATCTGAGGTGCTTTGAGGCCAGCCTCCTGCTGCAGACAGCTGCGCTCTCCCGTCCTCATAGGATCTTTCCTGTCTGCTGTCCCTCCTGGGAGGTGATCAGGTCTCACCCCAATGGCCTCATTTTAATTTGTTTCTAAAGGTGTCACATTCTGAGGTACTGAGGGCTTCAGCATGAATTTGAAGAGGACACAAAACACCCTAACGTGCTCTTCACAAATGAGATTAGAATTTACCAATGTGGTCCCTTTCTTTAGCAAAAATAACCGTTGGGCTGGGCCAACAGCTCATCTGCTAGATTGCTTGCCTGGTATGCGTGAAGACCTCAGCTCCATCCCCCAGAACCCACGCTGAAAACAACAGCAACAAAAAAAGCAAACAAAAACCTGGATGTGATGGTTGCAATCCCAGTGCTGGGCACGCCCAGACAGGGACACACACACACACACACACACACACACACTGTGGGGCTCTCAGGTCAGCCAGCCTGCCTCGCTACTGGGAAAGGTCCATTAGCAATCTCATCTCAAAATACAGGTGGAGAGCAACTAATGAGTGGCAGACAAGGATGCCCTCTGGCTCCATGTACCCGCATGAGCTCTTGCACATACCGACACAAGAGAAGATAATACTTTGATTGCCAATAGCTGCCATCACTGCATAACAGTGGAATGAGGCTTGTCCGATTTCAGCAATATTTATTGACAGAGCCTCTCACTCTGTAGCCCAGGCTGGCCTCGGTGCAATCTTCCCTGCTTTAATCTCTCCAGTGTTGGGACTGCGGGCATATACCACCAAAATCAGCCAGGGGAATATGAGATAGCTGTTTCTTCCAGGTTGGACATGACTACTGCCATCTTGAAGCAGACCGGCTGTGATGCTCTCCCTAGGACCCTCATGAGATACGCCGCTGAACATTCCCTCCAGGAGGAGGAGAGAGGTCGTGAGACTCCCAAGGCTTTTGCAAATCCTCTTAAGGACCCTCCCCAAGGCCCCAATCACTGTGCTAGAGACATCAACAACTGGGGTAGGATGGCTGTCCAAAGTCACTCCGGGGACTTTTGGGTGGTATGAGTCACCCACGGTCCTGTTTGTAACCCTAGTAAGTGGTCCAGTCATTCTGAGAAGATGCTGGTCTGTGCCCATCTTGGGTCCTCCCCAACCTCTGGCTCCTAAAATAGTTTACTCTCTTCTGTGGCGGTCTTTGAGTTTCACTAGGATTTGTGTAGGGGACACATCTTTGCTGAGGAGACCATTAGGATCTGGGATGTGCTGTTAGGCAGGCAAAGTCCAAAGGATCCCGCACACGGGCTGCTAGAGGGGAGGACCCTGGTGAACCTCTGTCCAATTCAGGATGAAAAGTTTGCTCCCAAGACAAGACTGTTGTCTGCCCCTTGTCAGCTGTCTGTGGTGAGATATCTCGAAAAAAATTTTGTTATTGCATGAAGCTTAAATATAAGTTACAGACTTGAACAGAAGTTAAGGCCTTTGCTTACAACATAGGCTATCTTCTAAGTAGGGGAGGCACATGGTTCCAGCCTGGAAGCCAGCACCACTTATGTCTTCACCAGTAAATCTGGTTCCTGGTGGAGTTCTCTCTGCCCTGGGCCCCCTTTCATCATAAGCTGATTGACTCCAGTTGGTCCCAGTTTGCTCCATATCTAGCTGGTCTACACTCACAGACGGGATTCCCCCCAGATAGCTCATTGCGTGTGTGACATCTCGGATGCAGGCATCTGTGGAAGGTGAGTGACAGAGTCACATTTCCTGGCCACCCTCCCCCAACGCTCCTGTGTGCCCACAAACACCAAATCCTAGAAGAGAGTGCTGTGCAAACACGTCTGTAGCAAAGAAGTACAAATACATACCCCCCCCCACCCCGTTTGCATTTGGAACCAGATGTCTGAGAAGCTCCTTGAGCAAAGGGCGGCCACAGATAATACATTCACTTGCCACTCAGGAAACACACGTCTTCCAGGGAAAAGTGATGACATCAAGTGGAACCCACTCCCAGCACTGCTCTGAATTATTCGCAGTGTGTCCGTGGCACACAGACAACAAACGGGAAACAAGAGGCTTTCTAGACCCTGCTCGAAGAAAGAGTCAGTCTTGCATTCTTTCCAAATTTGTCTCACTTTGTGATACGTCCCTGTGATACGCTCGATTGGTTTAGCCCCACAAACCCCCAGGGATTACAAGGGGCTTCTTTTACAACAGACTCAGAAGAAAACAAGAGAGTCCAAAAAAGGGGTCTGTCTGTCGAGCATCAGCAATCAGTGGAGTGTAGTAAGGTCCGAGGCCTAACAATCTGCTGTTCCTCAGCTATACACTGTTCTGAGAGTGACTTAAGAATGCCCAGACAGTGCCTCCTGGGAACCTCAGAAGTGCCTGCTGCAAGGACAGCTTGATTTGCCCTCAAGTTCCCTCTCAGCACATGGCCGCCAGTTCACCTGGGAACTCTGGGATATCATCTTAAAAAAGCCTGCGGTCACCGCGTGTGGTGGTGCACATCTGTGCACTGTGGTGCACATCTGTAATCTCAGCCCTCGGAAGGCCAAGGCAGGACCGTGATAGCTGGGTATGGTGGCAGTGCATCTCTGTGTTCTCAGAAGGCTGAGGCAGGAGGATGATGACTTCATGGCGGCAAGCCTGGATGACCTTGAAGATGAAGACAAGAAAAAGAAGCAGTGGAAGAAAGAGAAAGAGGAGGGGGGAAAGGAAGGGGAAGAGAGGAAGGAGGAGGCTAAGGCTGCACTAGAGAATCTCGGGTTCCTTCCGGCTCTGAAATGCTGCGATTCTTACAATAAAACATCAAAACCACACACCTGCCCCTTTATCTCTAACTTCAGAGCGAGCCTGTGCGGTAGCAACAGGAGCCCCTGCCTGCTTTGTAGCCATGCGACCTGCTGAGCTGTAGTCCCTGTGGGAAAGGGACACAATGATTTAAGGACGGTGGCACCTACCGAAAATGTCCTGCGAACAGTTACGAATGGTGTCGTGACTAGGACAATCCATACAGCAGATGTCCACCTACCCCCGTCACATACCTACCTCTGTTCCTGACCCAGGACTGGAAAGAAGGACAAAGGCCAGAAGCAAGACTCACGGCCGTCCTTCTGTGATTCTCCCTGGGAAACCCTGACCCATCGATGTGAAAAATATGCTGTGTCATCTTGAGCTGTCAATCAGTCCATCGGCCATCTCAACCTTTGTAAACACTCACTGCAGGTGAAATTAACCAGGGGCTACTAGAACAGAAAGTGCCCCCGAGTCCCGCCCCCCCCCCTCCATTCCCGCTCAGATCTGTACCAAGAGCTTTAAGTGAACGGTGGTATTCTGTACCACACACTCAATGTTTTAAGAGGAGTAAATAAAGAAGCAGCCATAGTGAGGAAAAAGTGTATTTCACAGCCATTATAAAAGTACATATAGTCAATAATGGTGACATAAATACAGTCCTTACTCATGGCCAAACCGTACAGCTAAGATGGACTCTTCCTCCTGGACTTCACACAGTGACAGTTCGGTCATTCCCATCAGTAGCCACAGGCTGACTGAAATCACAGGCAAAGACTCATGAAGGACAGTCATGGGCCAAACAGACAACACACTCTGTTCTTAACAAAAGGGTAGTCAAGTTTTCCATATAAATATAATAGAACAACAAAGAACTCAACATTCTTCTTTCACTTGGCTTCATAGATTTGTCTGTCAGGTGTAGACACATTGCAAAACGCAGCTAGTTTCCCCTCCGCACTCTACCACTGGGCTCACCACACACCTGAGTTCCGAGTCTGTTACCCCTGGCAACGTTAGTTGTGTCAGATAGTTGTGTATCTGACGCCTTTCTTGACGCGTTCACAGAATGGGAAACACTTTCTCCATGAGCTAACACCAACACAGGCACACACAAACGCACACGTGTGAGGAAAGCAAACAGCCAGAAAGAGACATAAGGGGCTACAGAAAAGGGGGGCACGGCACACAGGTATACATCCTGCCAACTGGCAGAGCCAGGCGGGGCGGTTACAGTTGGCAGTTAGGTGCTTCAGAAAGGATTCTTCACCCGTCAAACTCAAGCACACGACGCCAATTCAGCATCTGCAGATGAGTCTTCTCTTCCCTCTGCTTGCGGAGTTCTGTTTCAACATTAAGCTCTGGAAGCGCTGGCTGCCGGGAGGAAACCGGCCTTCTTAATGGTCCCTAGGGAGTGGGGGAGCCCCTCCCTGGGATTAAGCAGCCCAGGTCTTGCCAAGTTCAGCAAGGACTAGAGCATCTTGCTTCCAGGGTCAGCCAAATGTGTGTGTTCTTCTTGCCCTGTCAGAGCTGAGGGAGGCCAAGGGAAGCCACCACTGGCAAATGAGAGACGGTGATGCTGTGTCTCATCCTTCCATGGCCAAGACTGGCTTTGTGACGTTAAAGAAATTAGCCCACTTTACAATCAGTGGACTGAGATGATGAACCAGACTACATGCCTACCGCTGTGGTCTCTGATCACATCTGAAATAGACAAAGATCGAAGATTCTGGGCTATTCCATAACTCATCTCCTAAACCGACTGTAACCGGACTTGCGCCAGTCCTTCTCCTCCTTACAAAGCTGCCCATGACTGAGCAGTCCCCCGCTAAGGACCAGGATCCACATGAGACAGTCCCCCATCAAGTGCCAGCTGGACAGGATTCGACAACACCAGATTCCACAAGAGACACAAGGGTGTCACAGCCACGAAACCGGAAACGCATCTTTGGTTCAATCCTGGAGGGGAAAGGTGCAGAAGACAACATGGACCGAGAGCCTGTTTCGGGGACCCTGCTTTCCTTGGGGACAAACTATCCGTGAAGGCGCTCCCAGTGGGCGAGCCTGCTCCCGGCCCCCAGCATAGCTAAGCTCCAGCTGCAGCCGAGAGATAGCACTGCACAGTGCATGCCGCCTTCTTGCCGTCATCTTGACTCTGCCTTGAGAACCCCTTCTCTTTCTCCGGAACCACCCGGAGCTGCTGCCACAGTACAAACACAGGTTGGCCAGGCTGCCGTCCCTCATGCAGGCCACCATGGTCTAACGTTACTGCCATCACTAACCGGGTCAGCTTTTTGGCCACCTGAGTGAAGCTGCATCCCTCAGGAAAACATGAATTTGGGAGAAGCACTTCCCATCTGGTCATTGAGGTTTTTTTGAAAAATTGCTATTTTGAGACAGACACAGGGGTATACACTTGCCATTCCAGCACTTTGAAAGCTGAGGCAGGAGGATGAAGACTTTAAAGTCAGCCTGGGCTACTTAATGGAGACCCTGACTCCCTCCGCCCCCCCAAAAAAGTTACTTCAATTTAATAGCATCATATAAAGAAAGATTTCTTTGGACAAGTTCTTTCAATCCTCAGCAAGTTTCAATCAAAAAAAAAAAAGGAAAAAGAAAGACAGAAAAGACAAATTAGAGAAAACATTGTAGGGTTTTTTTAGTCTTTGTGGTCCATGTGGGATCTCACTGTTGGGTTCCATCTCTGTCTGAGGCTCTATCCCATCTTCCTCTGGGGTTCCTGGGGTCCGGCAGTGTGACTCAACACTCCTGCCCTCCCGCAGGGACTCACTGTTCGGGGAAGAAGGGTTGCTTCCCTCTGTAGAATCCCTAGGCTGGGTGGACATCCTTGGAGTGGTATGGTCCCTATGAGTCCGTGACTGGTCACTGGACAGAGCAGTCTGTGAGAGGCACACATGTAGCAGAGGAAAGGAAGGCCTCCTACCGACCTGGAACTGAGGAACTGAGAGTGGTCCAGCGATGGAGGTGTGGCTTTCAGCTCTGAACCCAGCTGGGGGATACTGGAGAGGGCTGGATGAAGGGTTGTAGGAAAGAGGGTCTCAGACTGGAATGGACGGCCCCTAGAGATGGCCCTCCTGATTTTCAGCATCTCAGATGATCCCTAAGTGAGGCTGGGCTGGGTGTGCAGGCTTTGAGTGTGTGGATTATAACTGGTCCGAGCTTGGGACATTGTGAGGCAGGGATGAAGGATGCTCTTGAGAGGTTGACTGCTCATGCCCTGATGTATGTGTGGAGCTCTGTTCCATTACTATTCTCATCAAAGACCACGAATCTTGTCATCCCGTGTTAACACTGGCCCTTGACACCATCAGCCATGTCAAAGGAGAGGCTGGAGGGGCCTGTGGGCTGCAGGGGGGACATGCTGGCCTCCAGGGACCTCTCTGAAGAAGGTTGCAGACTCTGGTGCCGCTTCCTCAGCATCTGTCCAATACCCATCATGGGGAATCTTCCCCTACTTTTCACACAGTTGGGGCTTCCCAGAGGCTGTGTGAGGCCATTGCTGGGAACTGGAGGAGGGGAACACACGCCCTCCTCTTTCGGGGAGCTGTTCTTCTCTTCATGCCCAAAAGAGACCAGCGTGGAATGCAGTGGAGTTTGGAGAGGTGACGTGCTTCCGGACAGTAGCCCCGGAGAGAGTGTCCTGTCACTAGAATTCCTACGAGCCAAGCTCACAGGTGAGTTCAGGATCCTATAATGGTGGGAAGGGGACACCAGTTCTATGTGGTCCTCGCGGTCCACAGACTCAAAGGAGTGCACCATATCCAGCAGCAGCGGCTCTTCCTTGGGGAGGACGCTGGCACTTCCTGGCCCTGACTGGTGTGGCTCTAGTTTCTTTACAATCCTGGGTGTCCTGGGAGGCGGGACAGGGATGAATTCCATGGAAGAAGAAGCCACACAATTGGAATCAGAGGTTTTGCGGAAAAGATTGCGGCAACCAAAGGAATCTGCATATCAGAAAACAAGACCATGAAAATCGTTTCAGAAAAGACTTACACGGCCATTTTGCCTGTATTGTCCCCAGCTTAACTGAGAAAGCAACCTGGTGCAAGGCAGGAAACCAAGGACCTGGGATAGTTAGAGGAAGCATCAACCAAAGCTCCTGACATCCCAGCAGGAGCCCCAGAAGTCCTTCTAGAGTATAGGAGTACAGAGGCTAGCCTCAAAGCCAAGTCTAGCATCTACTGCCCCTTGATAACTGAAAATTCCTGACGCTACCAAGAGTCCTTTGAACAAGAGGTTTACCTGTTCAACAGAACACCCATTAAAGCTTGGAGGTATGCAGAGTCTGACATACTGAACACCCACACATCTGGCTCCTTGACTGTTGACCCTGGAAGGACTTGTGTCCCCCAACTTTCTTGTTAAGTTTATCATGGTTAAAAAAGAGATATGTAACAGAAAGTTCATCAACTTAGAGGTTATTTTTGTCTACAGTTCAGCAAAGTATACACAGCTGTTTTAGCCTACAAAAATAATGTTGCCATTACACACTTGTCCACCCTTCTTGTCTCTTCCCTGCACTCTGGCAATCTCCACTTGGCCATGAACTTGGCCACTCTAGGAACATAAATAGCCTTTGAAGACTGCCTTATCCCCTTAGTGTGAGGGTTTCCGGGTTCGTCTAGGCTGTGGATGTCTCTCCTTTTCCAAGCCTCCCTAGTGGCTTTGAACACAATGCAGCCTCCTCACCTTCAAACAGAAATATGTAGCAATACTTAGCAAAGGAAGCAGCCAATGCCCAGACCTTTTGAGTTGGCAGAGACCAGAATCCAGTTTTGTGAACTCTACCAGGAAAGAGATGGAAAACCCCAAGAGGCTTGACAGGTGGGGGAATACAGCGAAGTTCATACGGAATAAGCCCTGTTCTCAGGCTCTTCTCAGTGTATAACATTTTATGTGCTTCATCACTGGCCAGCTGCAGGAACAAGCTGCTGCCCAGTGGGGGTGATTTCAGGAGCAGTCGAGGCCACTGAGAATCTCCCCTGCTCACATAAATAAATCTCCTCGGGCAGCACATGCCTGAGATGCGACAGCAGAAAGAAGTAAGATTTCTTTAATGGCTAATACTGTCAGTGCTCCGGCTGGCTCGTGAGCATTGCTTCCTCCGTGAGGTGTGCTGTGTTTGTGTACCAAGACAGGCTGCTCTGGGCAATGACGGGATATTAGCCGCCACCCCAGAGTCACGCTAAGCAAAGCAACAAGCCTGAGTTAACCTCAGATGGCCACAGCCCTCTGTGAGCCTCTGTAAATAAATAAATAAATAATAAAACCACTGCAACCAGCCTATAATATGGGAGCAGTCCTGCCTGAAGATTCCACGTTAGGACACCCCAGCTTCCGTGTCTCCCTCCCCAGGGGTGTTTCTCCCATGCGTCTCAAACCTGTGACATCCTGGAAGGAGGCTCACCTGGATCAGTTATCAACAATGGACTGAATTCTGAATCAGAACACATTAATCTTACTTAGTAGGTCCAGCAATCAGTGGCAATTACAACTAAGGGACTCAGTGAAAGCCTTCAGCCCCCAACAACTGGGACTTGAACTTGGGTCTGAGAACCCTACCGCCACTCCAGAACCCAGACACAGCAGCCACAGTTGAATGCCTCATGGGACCGTTTCTAAGAAAAGCTCCAATAAGATCTCACCCTCCAGCTCCACCTCCTGCTCCTACCTACCTACCCAGTTGATCCTGTAATCTCATGTATTCATTCTGGGCCCACAACATCGTGTGTACCACCCAATCTCTCAGCCTGCACATCAGCCTCTAGTCCTATGCCCTAAATCTCCTTCTGTGATACCTTATACCCTCGCCTCTGGTCCCACAATACCATGCAACCAAATCTCTGCTCCTACAGGCCACGAGCCCCCAGACTCTCAAACCACAATTATCTACCCGACCTTCACTCCTACAGTACCCCGCACCCCAGCCTCTGCTCCCTCCGTACCCCGCACCCCAGCCTCTGCTCCCTCTGTACCCCGCACCCCAGCCTCTGCTCCCTCCGTACCCCGCAACCCAGCCTCCGCTCCCTCCGTACCCCAAACCCAATGTACCATCCCAAAGGCACAGTCACCTCTGTCCTGAGCCTTCACAAGCACCCGCAGGGAGCAGGACCGCGGAGCTGACCCACCTTTGTCGGGAAAGCCCGCCTTGGAGGCCTTGCGGTCTTTGAGGAGGGCTTTGGTGTTCTGGATCTGGGTGATGAGGGAGGCTGAGGGCTGTTTGTGCGAGGGCAGGCTCTTGTCCGGCTTCTTGGAAAACGGACGATGAAGAAAATCTCCCCTTTTCTCTTGTTCTTTGGGCTTCTTATCCTTCCAATCAAAGTAAAGAGACACAGTGAGACACCCACGAGAACAGACTTTAGGAGTCTTCTCTGAAAAGTCACCCAAATAGACGAGGGGAACTCCAGCTTTTAAATGCAGTATACTTTGCGATGTGTGGATGAAGGGTGGCGGGGGCTGAGGTCTAGTCCATGCTCCAGGCGGAAGCTCCCTCTGCCCGGGAGCAAATAAACCTGGTCTCTCTCTAGCTCACTCGCCCTGCATCAACGTGTTCCAGAGTGGTGAAGGCCACCCTATGTGACCAGGTATTCTGGAAAAATCTGAAGGAACTAAGGAGCAAACAACTCAGAGTTCTAAAGAACTACTGTGAGCACTTCAAATGCTCCCCTACTGTGTGCATCTGAAGCACTGTCCTACCGTGTGCCTCTGTAGCGTTGCCCTTCTGTGTGCCTCTGAAGCGCCGCCCTACTGTGTGCCTCTGTAGCGTTGCCCTTCTGTGTACATCTGAAGCACTGCCCTACTGTGTGCATCTGAAGCACTGCCCTACTGTGTGCCTCTGTAGCATTGCCCTTCTGTGTGCCTCTGTAGCACTGTCTTACTGTGTGCCTCTGAAGCGCTGTCCTACTGTGTGCCTCTGAAGCACCGCCCTACTGTGTGCCTCTGAAGTGCTGCCCTACTGTGTGCCTCTGTAGCACTGCCCTACTGTGTGCCTCTGAAGCACTGCCCTACTGTGTGCCTCTGTGGCGCTGCCCTACTGTGTGCCTCTGTAGCGCTGCCCTACTGTGTGCCTCTGTAGCGCTGCCCTACTGTGTGCCTCTGTAGCGCTGTCCTACTGTGTGCCTCTGAAATACTGCCCTACTGTGTGCCTCTGAAATACTGCCCTACTGTGTGCCTCTGAAGTACTGCCCTGTATATGCATTTGAAGTACTGCCCTAGTTAGGCATGGGGGTGCAGACCTCTAATTTATTGTTCTGAGGTTAAGTAAGGAGGATTTCAAGTTCAGGGCCAGCCTAACTCACACAGTGAGACCTGGCTGTGGTCAATCCTTCAACTTGAATGGATTGAGAAACCTGTAGGGGCTATAAAAGCCTGCTTCTGGGGGTGTCTATGAGGGCCATTCCTAGGGCCTTTAGCTCATGAGAGCACTGATCCTATTGACGCATCTGCTGATGGCTTCTAAACTTAACAGAATGTTGAGGAGAGTTGACACCTAGGGAGGTGGGGCTTGGCTGAGAGAGAGGTCGCTCAGTGTGTGTTACTGGCAGCTATATTTTGTCCTGGCCTCTTCCCGTCACTCCATTTTTCCCTGTCTGCTACGATAAAACCAGCTCTGCTGTGTCCTTAACCCTATGGCCTGAAACCTCTGAGATCGGAAGCAAAATAAATTGTACTATAGGTTGTTTTTCTCAGGCAGATAGCACAACAATGAGAAAGTCCACCATAGATCCTGTCCAAATTCATCCGTCCACCCATCCATCCATCCATCTATCCATCCATCCGTCCATCCACCCGTCCATCCACCCATCTATCCACCCATCCATCCATCTATCCACCCATCCACCCGTCCATCCATCATCAAGCTGTACAAACAGAGAGATAGCTGATTTCATTTAATCTTAGACCCAGTGTGTTTAGTCTAAACTGCACAGAGCCCTGAGAAGTCCTGTTATGTTTGTAACCCTTTCTATTGTCTAAGCATGGGAGCTTTGAATGTATGCTGCTATTTTTTAGGCTGTAGATTACATCGTTATAGAACTAGATCACAATCCCTCTAATGGGAGTGGACTTGACTGCTTGATTTGCCTTGAGCCCCATAGCCTCTGGCATCAAGCCAGGTCCTTAGAAACAGCCTCACATTCAGCAGTTTGGAGGGAGAGAGGGTCAGTGGAAACTGAACTGAGTTAAAATTAATTGAGTTCAAGTTTCTGGGAATGGTGAGGCCACGAAGCAACTGCAGAGGGGAAATCGTTTTCCTGGCCCCGACGACTACACTGATATTTACTGTTAAACAAGGCATCCCTGACTGCGTGCTGGGTGAGGGGAAAGGGCAGTTTCCCACATTTTTCTGCCTTTAAGTTTTGCAATCCGAGGAGCTCATCTATTTTTCATTCATGTTCTGAGAAGCTTAGTGAGGAAGCATCTCTGCAATTTCACAAAGTGCCCTTCCCAACAAGGACGCCCAGCACCTCTGTAGAGAGCTCCTGATGACAGGGTCGCTCAGGAAAGAACAACAGGGGAGAATGGGAAGTGGGGATGCTGGGTATTTAGGACCACAGGAGATATAACCCCTAGCCAGTGAAGGGGGAGTGAGGCGGAGGAGAGGCCGCCCAGCTCCTGCAGCTTCTTCCATAGCTGCCACTGCCATTCCCGAGGTCACAGTGGGTTGTGATGAGGAAACAGACTGGGGCGGCCCAGTGATGGACCCCAGGAACAGACCGAAATGGATCTCCACAGCCCTCAAAGCCAGCACTGTGAGCCACTGACTCCACACGACTGGGGTGGGGTCAGAAGGTGGCAACTGAGGGACACATGGCAGGAGGAGACTCCTAATAAAAGGAAGACTTCAGCTGTACTTCTGCCTTCCAGCTGTGCTTCCGGACACATGGTACCTTCCTTCACGCAGGGATGCAGCGAGAAGCCCTTCCCTCCCCAGATGCTGGCACCGAGTCCTAGGACTTCCCAGCATCCGGAATTGTAAGAAATAAACTTTTGTTGTTCATACATGATCTGGTCTTATGCATTCTGTTATAACAGCAGAAAATGCATGAAGATGTCCAGGATACCATGAGTTGTATTCCAAGTGATCATGGGAAAGACAGCAGGAGGTGACCAGTTTTCCACTGCTCTCTGGTCCTCTTTCCACAAAACACAAACAGTCCACCCTTCTACCTTCTCTAAAGCAAAGGAGAACAAGCTTTTATAGCAAACACACGTGGAGACAGACGTACACAGAAACAAGCATGTGCATAAACACACAAACACACTCTCATAGCCACACACACAGCCACACAAATGTACACATAGACACAGACACACAGACAGATGCATATACAGACACACAGAGACAGATGATAAACACACAGAAATTCAAATAAACACAGATATACACACACACTCAGAGATGTACATATACAAGAACACACACATGCACGCGCATGTTCAGGCATGCACATGCATACAAACACACTCTGTAGCATAAAGGAGGATATGAAGGGTCTGCGTTGAAAAGTTCAGAAGAACTTCTTCCTTTGTACAGTTTTGTTTTTAATCTCTCTGTTCTTATGCAGTCACCATTTCTATCTGTTAACACTGCAGCTGGAAGAAACACACACAAGATGCACGTTAACACCACAGCTGGAAGAAACACACACGAGATACACGTTAACACCACAGCTGGAAGAAACACACACAAGATGCACGTTAACACCACAGCTGGAAGAAACACACACGAGATACACGTTAACACCACAGCTGGAAGAAACACACACAAGATGCACGTTAACACCACAGCTGGAAGAAACACACACGAGATACACGTTAACACCACAGCTGGAAGAAACACACACGAGATGCACGTTAACACCACAGCTGGAAGAAACACACATGAGATGCACGTTAACACCACAGCTGGAAGAAACACACGAGATGCACGTTAAAACAAAACTTCATAGAAAAGATCAAATTGCATTTGCCCTGGTTTAGAATTAAACAAAACAAAAAAAGGCCAGCAAAGATCAGCAAAGGCTCTTCCAGGCTGCTATTCAGCCCCATGCACAGAGGTCTAACCCCAGCTGTGTGTGTGTGTGTGGGGGGGGGGGTCTACTGCAGCTCCTTCCCAGTCCTTTTGGGGGTTCTTGATAGTTGGAAAAATCAGGTTATAAATCCAATCCAGGTCCAATCTCTCTACCCAGTAGCAAGAATTACATGAGATGGGAGGGTCTGCTACAGGGGGAGTCCAAGGCTGGCCCAGGTGACCAAGTTTTCCTGAGACCAAGGGAGGGATACTTGGCAATGCACAGGGGGCCTTCTATGGGAGAAGAGGGGGGATTGCTTACTGGTCCAGACCTTCAGGTATCTCTGCTAAGGCCATCTTTGTTGAACTTGTGTCCCAGCATGCTGTGCAAACCATCAGAACATCTATCTCCACAGAGATTTTATAGTAACTATTTCCAGGGAGCACTGAAGAACACCCTTGAAGGGGACGACCCTCGGGCCAGTCCACGCGTAAGCGCAGATGTCCAACGGAGCAGGGCTTACCGCGGATCCCACTGCCTCACACGTGTGCCAGTGATCACCCGGTTAGACCTTTCCATTGCTTAATCTACTTTCTGCAAAAGACACCCCTAGGGAGCAGGATGGTAGCAGTGCCTGATACAACAGAAAACAGTCTTCAGTGACACAGACTACACTCTTCCGAGGGCATGCGGCCTGCCCACCAGTTCCAGGGCTGGCAGGGTCCTGGTTCCCTGATTCTCCTCCGTCAGGGTTCCCTAACATCCATGAGGCCCAGAGGACAGGTGAGGAAATCCACAGTCTCGACTCTTAGCATCGTTTTCTTAAAACCCACAGGACAGTTTTACATCAAGTCAGACCAGAAAGGATCACATGAGGTGGGTCGAGCAAGTTCCGTGTGTGTGCACACGCACGCGCACGTCTATGGAGGCCAGACGGACATCGGTTGATAGTAGTTGTTGCTCTCAATCCTACTCTACAGAGTCGGGGTCTCTCGTGGAGCTCGGAGAGCACAGACTTGGCTAGCCCTGGGGATCCCTGTCTCCTGAGTTCTGAGGCTACAGGTGGGCCACTATGCCCACCCAGCTTTGATATGGGTGCTGGGGATCTGAACTCGAGACCTCACACCACAGCAAAAGTACCTTGTCCCTGAGCCACTGTTCCAGCCCCACAAGCAGAAACCTGACCTCTGGCCACCAACCCTACCCACTAGAGGCATATACTAACAGTTACAAAATGACTGAACGTGGGCCCAGAAAGGGTGGCGTGCACCCAACTCCTTAGTACCCTGTACCAATGCACGAAACGGAGGTCCACTGAGCATTTAGAGACAGATGTGTAGCTGCCACCGATAGCCAAGCTGAGGGGACGGCCCAGTGCTCAGCCTCTAAGCCCTGAGCTCCCATCTGGTCCCTTTCAGAGTCTCCCTTCCTGGCTGTCAGTAGAGGCACAACCGTCAGCAAAGAACAACCGCCATGGTTGTGGCGGTGAACTCCATCCCTGACTCTCCGCAACCTGGCATGACCATGAGCAACTCCTGTCACCTCCAGAGAAGTGGCATCCCCATCTGTAACAGCAAGTGAAGTAGGTTCTTCCCAGCTCTGCAGCATGAGAAGAATCCATCCTGCATCTGTGTGGTATTCACAATGGCAAACCCCGACTCAGCAAGGACAGGTTCTGATTTAACAAGGGCAGGACGCCTCCTGTTGTCCCAGGTTGGCGGAAGAACTGCCCCTTGGGAAACTGACTTCTCTCCCATACAGAGTGACTATGGTATGGAAGAGCCTGGGGCTCACTGGGAGCTTGACTGATAGTGAAAGACCTTTCACCCAGCTGCTTAGTGCATAGAGCCAGCCACCTCTCCGACCCTGGACGGCTGATGTTCCCAAATGCCATCAGGCAGTTGGCATTGGCTCCTTCGTGTCTATCATATTGTGCCTATCGTATCATATTAGAGAAAGCCAGATTTGGCAGCAGCAGAAAACAAAACAACAACAAAAACCTATGAGTGAGTTTATAAAAAGAGGGGTTGATTCATAAAGCAGACCACAGAGCCAGGACCCTGGGCTGCTGCAAATCCTGCCTGTGTCTCATGCAGAAGAAGCAGGAATGCGAGACAGCAAGACACAGCTCAACACAGCAAGAACGCAGCCCATCTGAGGAGAGTCCTCTCCATAGGATTCTGGGTAAGGAAAAAGGGTTGCAGCGGCAGAGCCTGGCTGATAGTCAGGATCACATGACAGTGAATCCCATGTGTCAACTCGGCTACTCTCCGTTATCCAGTGAATGGTGAACACCAGTGTGTATGCTACTGTAGAGGATGTTCAGCATCTTTAACATCCACATCAGCAGGCTAAGAACAGGAGAGGATCCTCCTCAGTGTGCTAGGTCTCATTCAGTCTGTTGAAAGTCTTAAGAACACAACGGGCAGGGTTGGAGAGCGGGCTCAGTGCCTCAGAGTGCTTGCTACCCAACCATGAGACCTGAGCTTGGATGCTAACACTCATGTAAGAAACCAGCGTGGTCTTGGGCATACCTGCAACCCTGGCACTTTGAGGGGCAGAGACAAGAGGATTTGGGGGGGCTTTCAGCCTAGCTAAAAAACAAACAAAAAAAGAAACAGCTATAGGCTCAGGGAGAGACCCTGCCTCAAAAGAATGAGATACAAAGCAACAGAAGAGGGTGCCCAATACAGTCTCTCTCTCTCTCTCTCTCTCTCTCTCTCTCTCTCTCTCACACACACACACACACACACACACACGAACTAAAAGATGGTTATCTATCTATCATCTATCTATCATCTATCTATCACTCTATCTATCTATCATCTATTATCTATCATCTATCTATCACTCTATCTATCTATTATCTATCATCTATCTATCTATTTATCATCTATCTATCACTCTATCTATCATCTATCTATCTATCTATCTATCTATCAATCAATCACTCTAGCTATCTTTCCACCATATTTCTGTTTTCATGTGTGTATGTAAGTGAGAGAAACTACATCTCTCTGGAGAGCCTGGCTAACCAATCAGAAATCCCCAAGCTCTTACCTGTACAGCATGGAATTCCAAGTCTCTTGTCCAGGTATCCAGGGAGGCCTGTGAAGGACACCAATTTTCATCAATTCAAGAAGTTACATCTATTACTTATTCCCAAAACTCTATCCCATAGGATCCCCCCTACACCTCCGATGGAATACTATTTGTGTGTGTGTGTGTGTGTGTGTGTGTGTGCATATATATAAAACAACTGCCCTGAACTGCAGTGTAAGGAGAGGCAGATGTCCTAATCTGTAGTGATATTTTATTTGTATTTTAATAAATAAAGTTTGCTAAGTTCAGAAAGTGAAACAGCCCCACTGACCAGCCTTACAGACCAGGCAGTGGCAACACACACCTTTAATCCCAGTAGCCACACTAGTTTGCCATAGAAACTGGCGGTAGTGGTGCATGTCTTTAACCCCACTCCTAGAGAGGATTATAAGATGGGAGGAGACAGCTCTCACACACAGTCTCATTCTGAGATTCCTGAGGCAGGATTGCCATTTTAGATGAGGCCAGAGATAAAAGTCAGTGTCTGGCTGTTTTGATTTTCTGACCTTCAGGTTGAAACCCAATTTCTGTCTCTGGGTTTTTATTAATCGTGCTACACTAATCATATATCCACATGTAGGGCAGATCTTCTAGATGGAGTTTATTCAACTCTAAGACTGAGAAGGGAGATGTGCTCTCCTGACAAAAGAGCAATTCAGCGCCATGGAAACAGCACCCACATCAGGAACTAGATCCCGCCAGCAGCTCACTGCTTCTCCTCAGAGTTTTCTCCCAGCCCAAACTCTTTTTCTAAAACTTTTAATTTTAATTAATTAATCAGTTAATTGTGAGTATGGGGGCACATCAATCATGGTGTACATATGGAGGTCAGAGGACCCCCTGCAGGAGTTGGATCTCCCCTTTTACCATGTGGGTTCTGGGAGCGAGCCCCATTCCTAAAGTAGCAAGTTCCTTCACCTGTGAGCCATCTGACAGCTCTCCTCCCAGCCTCTCTGTCGCAGGTGTAGCTACCATTTTCATTGCCTGCAGCACAAATCACTTGACCTGACTCGACACTTGATTTTTTATTTTAAAATATCTGTGTGATATAGTTTGATCCTGCTTCCTTCTCCCCCCGTTCCTCCCCAACCAATTTTATGTTCTTTCTCTCCAAAAAAAAAGCAAAAACAAACAAAAAAGCAAACAACAAAAATCAAAATCCAAAACAAAAAGACAAAAAAATGCCCAAACAAAATGATGATGATGATGATGATGATAATGATAATAATAATAATAATAGCAGCTTACAAAAATCCATGGTGTTCGTTTTGTGTTGGCCTACCCTAGCCTGGAATGTGGTTGAAATACCCAGTAATACTCCACTGGAGAAAACAGATTTTCCCTTTGGTAGCAGGTATCAATTGCAAATAGCCCTTTGGCCATTCTTCATTTGTGTGTGAAATTTATATGCATCATATATATGCAGGTGCTCACAGAGGACAGAAGGCAGCGTCAGATACTCTGAAACTGGGGTTACAGGCTATTGTGTTCCTCCGTGTGGGTGCTGGGAACAGCAGCACCAGGGTCCTCTACAAGAATCCTAACTGTTGAGCTATCTCTCCAGCCCCAAGTCATATAGCTATTTAAATAAGTCGTAAGCTGAACATCTTCATATTTACCTTTAAACTTACAGCCTCAGTATGTCAGCAATATCTCAAAATTTCCATGTTGGAGTTTTGGCCTCTAGGACCACAGAATACAACCTTGTTTGGAGTCAAGTCTTCATAGTGATAGCTGAATTAAAGTGAGGTTGTCAGGACAACCCTTCTGCAGTAGGACTGGTGTTGTCACAAGGGGGCGGGGAGGAACTGGACACGGGAGTGCATCTAAGATGGCACAAGAAGGCAGCCGAAAGGAAGATTAACAGCAAGTACCAAAGCCTAGGCAAAGGCTAGCGGCCGGTTCCCTCTGCCGTCCCTCAGGAGGAACCAGCCCTGAGTCACCCTGACCTCTAGAATTGAGGGACAGTAGATTTCTGCCCTGTCCCTGCTGCCCCATAGCCACGGTCTTTTCTGGAGCCATCTCCTGTTTCTAGTCTATATTTTATAAATTGACATTATTTTTAAGGGATTTCAACCAAAATGGCATTGCACCGTTTTTGTTTTTAAAGATGGGTTCTCACTCTGTAGTCCTGGCCAGCCTTGAACTCACGGAGTTGTACAGGACGCCACCTCCTGAGTGCTCCATTAAAGAACGCTCTCTTACACCTAGCACGTCTAAAGTCACCTTCAACAGCCAGGTTAAAAATGATGACCAGCCTGTCTCCACCCAGTGGGCCCCGGGCTTCACTGAACACCACACATTGGTGTTTCCAAGTGAGATACCTCTACCCCTTCCCCCTGCTTTTGTTTGTTTGTTTGTTTGTTTTGAAGACTGGGTCCCTCTACATAGCCCTGACTGTCCTGGAACTCTCTCTGTAGACCAGGCTGCCCTCAAACTCACAGAGATCCCCCTGCCTCTGCCTCTGTGCTGGGATTAAAGACGTGCACCACCACACCCTGTTACATGTTCCAATTTTACAAAATAGTCTCTTCCTTTTTACAGGCAGAGGAAAAATAATTCTTATATCACAGCACTGTAATCCCCAAAGGGAAGTTTTGAAAACTCAGTTAAATTTATTTATCCTCTAGTACAGAAAAGAATAGAAATGAAGAAATAAAAGAGGCCACCCAAGCACTCAGAGCACAGAATCCAACTGCATGACATCCTTGGAGCTTGTGACCCTCCAGCCAAATTCCCGGTGAAATGCGACCTCACTCTCCCATCCACCCCCACCCCTGCATTGTGTTCCCCTCCCTTCTCACACTCACCCCTGCATTGTGTTCCCTTCCCTTATGACCCTCACCCCTGCATTGTCTTCCCCTCCATTCTGACCCTCACCCCTGCATTGTCTTCCCCTCCATTCTGACCCTCACCCCTGCATTGTCTTCCCCTCCCTTCTGACCCTCACCCCTGCATTGTCTTCCCCTCCCTTCTCATGCCTGCCCACGGCAACTGAAGTGAAACCGGGGCCTCCCCGCGGCTGCACCAGTGAAGCCTGGACCATCTAAGACCTTCCGAGAACTTTTCCTACCCAGCCCCACTCCACTCTCTGGGTTCCGACAGAGACAAGTTGAGCAATCTAATAAGAGCCTGTAATTCAATTAGCAGAAGAAATGCACACTGGAGAAACAAATGGATCGCAGGGAACCCGTTAGTGCACCTATGTAAATACTAGCTGTTCAATATTTCAGCAAATGTTTAAAACGTCAGCCATGTGTCCTCTGGCCAAGTGGAAATAACCGTCAGAGGAAGGGAGTCTGAAGGAGAGATGGGGCTCTTCCCGTCAGGGTGCTGGCACTTACGGATACAGCTAGGAAGGCTGGGAGTGAGAGAGCAGACAAGAAGAAAAGGCATTGCTAGCCTCGATTCAGTCCAATTTCTGACATAGGACAAGGTCCATTTCATCTGACCACTTAGCAAGTATTTACTGGAATGACATGGCACTTCCGCCATACCAGGGACCATGCCGGCTCTCGGATGCTAACATGCTCCTTGTTCTTGTGGGATTCACGGTCCACACGGGAAGTCATGTGCTCATCAGCTGATCCCCTTAAATAACTGAGAAAGTGTTGGGACCAACGCTGCTTGTAGAACGCTGGAGGGCAGCTGCCCTAGAGAGAACGGGGACCTCGTGCACCCATAGTTACTGCGGCTCTACTCACGGTGGCCAAGCCATGGAACAGACCCTGCTGTCCTGCAGCTGGAGGATGGGTGAGGAAGATGTGGTCCATGTGCGACAGACACCAAGGGTTTGGTTGTTTTGTGGTTTCAGCAATAAAGAATCACAAAGTCATGTTCTTTGCAGCAAAATGGATGAGACTGGGGAAATCACATTAAGTGAATTTAGCCAGCCCCAGAAGACAAATAGCATTTTCCTCTCATGTGTGGTTCCTAGACCTTATAGACACACAAAATCACGTACGTATATGCCATGAAAGTAGAAACAGAGCTAACTAAGGGAATAAAGGTCTAATTCTACTGTGGGGGTGGGAGAAGGGAGGAAGGAGGAAGAGGAAGGAGGAAGGAAGAGGGTAGGAAGGAGGGAGGGACAGAGAGGAAGATGAGAGAGGGAGGAAGGAAGAAGGGGGAAGGAAAAGAGGGGAGGGAGGGGGAATATACTCAAAAGTACCTTATGTACTTGTATGACATGCTCTTATGTAAAGTAATACTATTTATAACTAATATATAAAATGTAAATTGAAAAATAAAAGGCATTTAACAAATCTCACTGAACAGACTGGGAAACAAAAACAAAGACACAGAGTCTTGCCTCCCGAGACTGGATGTCACTGGTGTGTGGTACGGACTGAGCACACAGGTGTTTAAATGTCCCAGGGATGTGTGGCACATAGGCCTTGTGGCTTGGAGACTGAGCAATGTTGGCTCTGCTGTAACTGTAAAGGTGTTTGTCCTTTGGTATTTCTGGGTTATGGCGGCTGGTTTTCATTCCAGCCTGCCCTGAAATGGACTGAGAGCCCTACAGGGCCACTCACCTCGTAGGGCTCCTTGCTGGCTCTGCACTTCTCTATCTGGTAGAGCTGGGTCTTATAGCAGATGCCATCTTGAATGTCAGATTTCTACCGAAGAAAGAAAAAAATTGTATCTTAAGTCTTGGCAAACAGAAACATTCGTGACACAGTCCTGAATTTTCCAACCAGTGCTTGGCTAAGAGAAAGTCAAAGAATGGCTGGCACACCAGCAAGCTGCAGGGCAGCGTCTCATGCCAGCACTGAGCACGAGGGGAGTCCAGGGCCCAGAGTTAGGCAGCCCTGGGCCAGTCTCTGCTCTCTACTTAATCTGAGTTCCTCCATCTGCCCGGTGTTTGCTGTAGGAGGAGAAACAGAAACCAAACAGTTAAGCTGGAAGCACGACCTACTAACCACACTGGGTAGGAGGCAGCAGGCTCACTTGCTTATAGTAAACAGGCGTGGAACACAGTTCAGTCGGTGGAACAGCGCTTACCCAGCACTCACGAGCTCTGTTCCGTCTCCAGCACTAAAAACCCGGCATGGCAGCAAACACCTGTAACCCCAGGGCTTGGGAAGCGGGTGCTGAGCGACAGGGGTTCAAGGCCATCTCTGACTATATAGAAAGTTTGAGGCTAGCCTGCAACAGGAGACCCAGTCTCAAATAAACAAAAGCAGCATGAAAACACAACACCCAAGGGAAGGCCACGGCAAGTCACAATGTGATGGAGGAAGGTCATTGGTTAAATAAAAAGAAACTGCTTGGCCCTCATTGGTTAGAAGATAGGTGGGAGGAGTAAACAGAACAGAACGCTGGGAGGAAAAGGAAGTGAACTCAGACTCCACAGCTCTCCTCTCGGGAGCAGACACCTCAGAGAGATGCCATGCTCCCAGCTCCCAGGCAGACGCACGCGATGAAGCTCCGACCCAGGATGGACATAGGCTAGAATCTTCCCGGTAAGCACACCTAGGGGCGCTACACAGATGATTAGAAATGGGCTAAATTAATATGTGAGAATTAGCCTAGAAGAGGCTAGATAGAAATGGGCCAAGCAATGATTAAAAGAATACAGTGTCCGTGTAATTATTTCAGGTAAATCTAGCCGTGCGGGAGGCGGGGTGCTGGGGACGCAGCCCCGCCGCTCTTATTACTACAACAATGGAAGCTAGTAAAGGACTTACAATATCTCTTGATTCTAAAAAATAAGACAATGGAAGAGAAAGGAAGAAATGACAAGGGGAGACAGGCATTCTAGTTCACTGATTTCAAAATCCCACACGGGTTGTTAATGATCAAAGAAGATGACCAACAGTGCCTACAGGGCAATTAGATGAGCCACATCTGGCTATCACACACATCTGGCTATCATCACAGAGCGGACCAGCTGCAGTCCTGGGCAGAGATCAGTTCACTCCTCTCGCCTAGAGCTTGGATTCTCGGTCCAGGTACGTCTTACGATTGAAGAGTTAAGTATCATTGCTCAATAAAGTCAAATGCTTCTCCAGTGAGATCTGCAGGTCTGTGTTTCTGGGGATGCTTTCCACGGGGCATTGCCATGCTCAGCTTTATAGCACTCAAAACTGATGTTAGACAAAGTTGAAGAGAGGAAATGACAGCAGAAGGCAAGGAGCCCGGGGAGAGCAAGGCACAGGCTAAGAGTTTCCGACACAATGTCCCTCTTGGCCCTCTTGCTTGACATGAGCTATGGCACAGTATCGAGAGACTGTGAATGATCAAACCTGTTGGGTGTAAATGCAGAAGCAGCCATAGGACACTGCTTTCGGGACAAGCAGCCTTTTATCTAACTTTGGAAAACACACTGATCTAGACCACCATGTGGCAACATCGTTCAGTAATGTATGAAACTAAGACTTCCCTACATGTCAGCTCCATCAAGGCACGCTAAGATCCCGAGCAACATTCATCACTTGAAAACCGGCGTGCGTGCGTGCGTGCATCCTCCTGTGATCTGGGAGCCATTTGAAAGATTAGCTTTTCGCCTCTGGCATGATCTCCACATGCTATCACCTGGAGCCCGAATGAGAACATTGCACAGAGGCGTCTACAAGAATACTCATATTTATAATTCATCATGTACCGTGGCACTCATACATCATCTACATCATAAAATATACAGCAAAGTAGGAATTTAAAGGATGAGATAAGAAAGAGACTTGGAGATGAGGTCTCTTGCAGAAGAAAATTGAAAAACAGCCTCAACTCCCACCCGACTCTTAGGCACTTCTGCTGAGAGCGGAGAGTCATGGTGTGGCACGGAGGCTGTCTTGCTCCTCCTTTCTTACCACTTATGAAATAACAGACCATACCACTAGGGTTTGCCTGGGGGCCCCGGAAGTTCACCTGCTGGAAGCTTGGTTCCTCAGGTGACAGTGTTAAGAAGTGGTAGGGCCTTTATGACAAAGGGGACGGGCACAAGATAATTAGGTCATCAGGGCATCTTTCATAGAAGGGATTGGTACTTATCTTATCCAGCACATCAGTTACCAGGAAAGTGCTGTTGAAAAGCGGGCATCGTACTCGCTTGGCCCTTTGCCTAAGGTTATTTCCCTTCTTGGGCAAGTTGTGACAGAGTGGAGACGCTCCTTAGAGGCTAGGACATGATCTCGACTTTCACTTTCCAAATCTAAGGCTCAAACAGGCCTGTTTTTGTTTTTTTTTTCTAAAATATTTATTTATTTATTATGTATACAATATTCTGTGTGTGTGTTCACAGGCCAGAAGAGGGCACTAAATCTCATTACAGATAGTTGTGAGCCACCATGTGGTTGCTGGGAATTGAACTCATGACCTTTGGAAGAGCAGGCAATGCTCTTAACCACTGAGCCATCTCTCCAGCCCCAAACAGGCCTGTTTTTAAAGTGAGTGTCCAGCCCCTTGGGTATTTTGTTATAGTAACAGAAGACAGACATATACATATATGTGTGTGTGTGTGTGTATAGCAATATATTATATATATTACATATTGATTAATATATATTACATATTGATATTACACATTTAAGCTTGATTGCAATTGCAGACCCTGTCTTCCTATGTTACTAAGTGCTAACTTTCAACTTGGCAAAGCCTAGAAGGACCTGGAAGAAAGCCGAGTAGCTGTGTGTACCAGGCTGGTCTGTGGGAATGTCTGTCAGGGACTGTCTTGATTATCAATTGGCAGAGGGCCCAGCACACTGTGGGCAGTACCCTCCCTGGGCAGGTGGTTTTGGGCTCTGTAAGAAAGCCAGCAAGCTAGACGACAAGCCACTAGGAGCATTCCTCACTCGTCCCTGCCTCCAGTCCTCACCCTGACTGCCCTCCATGATGGGCTGTGACTTGGGAGTAGAAACCAACCAAACCTCTTCCTCCCCAAGTTGCTTTTGGTCAGAATAAGACACTAGAATAAGACAATGTGTCACCTAACGTCCTATGACTGACTGATGTCTGCAGAGGGATCGACTCATAGCCTCAGAACTCCAGACAAAACGTTTACTTACTTATGATGATTTTTCTTCTTTGGGGAAGCATTTTAGTGTTACCTTTCACATGTCTTTCCTTTCGCCACATGCATGCACGTGCGCGTACACACACACACACACACACACACACACACACCAAGAAAGCCCTGGTTAAATTTTCCTGGAACCAAATTATATGCTGACTCAGCCTGGGAACACCTGCACGACCGTCCAGATGTTTGGCCAACCTCGGGTCAAGTTTCTTCAGACGTGTTATCTAGCTGCCTCTCAGCCTGCCTACTTACAGGAGCTTCAACAGGACCATCACACCCCACGGACATCACACCCCACGGACATCACACCCCACGGACATCACACCCCACGGACATCACACCCCACGGACATTACACCCCACGGACATCACACCCCACGAACATTATTTTGGTCATTTCTATTCTGTCAAGGGGACACATTTCTCTAGCTGCAGGTGAATTTCATCTTCTGCTCTAAGATAGAAACTTAAAAATGTTTCTAAACTGATAGGTTGGTGGGTTGTTTTTGTTTTTTTTTTGACACATTAGATTATTGCGTGACTTTAACCAGTATCGAACGATCTCTAGAAGTCTGATCTTACCGTCTAGGCTCTGCCTTCCTAGCAGAAGCATACCACCAGATCTCATGGTGCAATATACACAGGGTCAGGGTCACTTTTAAGGGAGTGGGTGTCTGATCAAATCTCAGATGGGGTTATCTGGTTGACTTCCCGTCAGAGCCGGTCAGCACTGCACCTACCTTTCTGCATCAATGCAGAACAGTTTGCTTAGAATCTATACACTGCCTTACAGAATGCTTTTCAAGAGGTTGTCCATTTGGAGGTTACTGACATATGAACTACCATGCCTAGATGATAAAGATACCACACTATCAGGGTACTACTGGTAAAGTGCGTATCCCGACAGTACTCCACACATGGCACTAGGCAACTTGGTCTTTCTTTTCCCAATTTATGTGTGTGTGTGTGTGTGTGTGTGTGTGTGTGTGTGTGTGTGTTTTGCCTACATGTATGTGTATATCATGTGTGTGCCTTGTATCAGAGGAGTCCAGGAGAAGGTGTTAGATTCCCTGGGACTGGAGTTACAGATGCTTGTGAGCCACCTTGTAAGTGCTGGGAATCGAACCCAGGTCCCCTGCAAGAGCAACAGTGCTCTAACTGTTGAACCAGCTCTACCCTGTCACTTGAATTCTCTAACATCTGGCCTGTGTGAAGCTGCTGGAGTCAACCCAGTGAAGCACATTGTGTTCTCATTTGGGGAGAAGAAACCCTAATCAATTTTTTCTCTTGGCACCTGGTTCCAGGCCTCCAATTTTGGAGTAAGTCATTTATAGGAAACCATACAATATTTGCATATAAACTATGCATATCTTCTATACACTTTAAATCTCTGAATTACAGCACCTAATACAACACAAATGCCACGCAACTATTATTTAGGGAATAAAAAGAAGGTCGCACATGTTCGGCACTAATACAATATTCTTCTAAATATTTTTGATCTGTGGTTGGTTGAATCCTGTAGACACAAACCATCAGAGAGAGGGCCTCCCAGTGGCTTTTTCTAGCTAGCTTTATAGATCCAGGTAAGGCTCCACAACTTTTAAGAGCACTGAAGGCTCCCGTTCCTCTAAAGCTGAGAACCCAAAGAGCAAAGAGGTGACAGAAAAACAGACAGCTGAGAACAGAAGACAAACAATGCTGAAGGCCCTCAGCGGTCTGCCAGGGCTGTTACAGGAGAACCTCTGGAACACGTCTCTGACCAGGAGCACCATCTAAGAAATGGTGTTTGCCACATTCAAGAGACCCGGCCTCACGTTTTAGGCTAAAATAACAGCATGGATCAAGTGTCAGTATCTGCGTAACCCTAGCCAGAAGAGGCTCCTCTTGGGTCCCACTTACCCCTGACAAATAGCGCTCGAGTTTCTTGTTCAACAGGAAGTAGATGGCCAAGATGTGGCAGGCGCGGTTGGAGAGCACCGTGTTGATGACGTCGCTGTTCTTATAGCCCAGCTTCTCAGTCATGTGCAGCACCACGCTGGGGCTCAGGTCTTCCAGAGAAATCCTGTGAGGGGCAGACACCAAGAACCTGTCACTGACCGCTCCACCTTCACAGAGCGGCTCACAAACATGGCGGACAGAAGGGGCCCACACAGGGCCCAGGGACAACTGGGGCCTCACACACTCACTCATTCACTTGATTTTTTTCTTTTTGAAACAGGGTCCCATGCAGCCCAGGCTAGCTCAGACTCTTGGAGCAGCTGAGAGAATGACGTTGAATACCAGACCCTCCAGCGACTACCTCTGAGGGCTGGGACTGGAGACACGTGCCATGCCTGCTTCATGTGCTACTGAGACAGAAGCCAGGACCTAGTTCACACCAGGCAGACACTGCCTCAACTGAGCTACGTATCCAATCCCGGTGGGCTTTTTATTTTGAAAATTTTCATGCATATAGAAAGATGGTGGGCTTACTATATAATGTTCCTTATATATTTGGGGGCTTTCCATCCTTAGGATTCAATTAATCTTAAAACATTTCAGGGGAAAAATAACTACATCCATACTAAAAATAAAGGGTTTTTTTAAATTGACATTATTCCCTAAGCAATATAGTATAACTATTATAAATCATTCAGGGTGATTTAAAATGCATGGAAGAACTGTGTGGTTTATGTGAAAACTATACCATTTCATATAAGAGACTTGAGTGTCTGCAGATTTTTGGGTGGGGTATTTGAAAGCAGCTCACCTTATAATCCTATAGACCAGGCTGGCCTTGAACTCAAAGAGATCTGCCTGCCTCTGCCTCCTGAGTGTTGGGATTAAAGGTGTGCGCATCCCACTGATACAGGGCGACACCTGTGATTAGTGTGTGTGCACCATCACTTGGAAGTGTAAGAGTACTTCGCCACACTTCCTTCATTTTCGGTTGTTACTGTTGCTGCTAAAATATTTTAAAATGTAGGCAGCATGCCATGTCATTCCAAATACTTCAGTGTATGCCCTTAAAACCAAAGGACAGCCAGACCTGGTGGCACAGGCTTGTCACTCCAGTTACTGGAGAGACTTGGGCAGAAGAATTCCAAGCTGTGTTAAACAGAAAATGTAAAAAAAAAAAATGAACACATGAGGCACAGTTGTGTGAAAACTCCTGGTGTCTCCAGTGAGAGCAAACCTAGGCCCCTCATGCATGCCAGCAAATCATGGCCTCATAGTATGTGGGAAGGTGCGGTGTGCCACCCCAGCGAGAAGAGAGGGAGGGATGGAGGTAAGAGGGATGTTAGCCAGGGTAGCGCTCCATCTCAGTGCTCTGTAGCTGTTGTCTTGAGAACCAGGAGACTCCCCTATAATGTAGGGTTTTGACTGAGAGTCATGTAATCTTGAACCTTTTCTGGCAATGAATATATTTGGTTCTAATACATCTGTTACTGAATCTTTACAGTTTTTGGCTGATAAAGAGAATGATAACCACCAAATGTGGTGGCTCCTACTTACAACACCAGTGCCCAGGAGGAACACAGGAGGTTCACTGTAAGCTTCTAGCTTGCCTGGGCTGCACAGTGAGCATCAGGCTAGCCCAGATCATGTAACGAATTATAATTTGAGCTAAGAAAATTCACATTAAATTGCTTTGACACTATTTTGGTTTCATTCTGGCCCATTAACAGAATTGACTATGGGTGTGGGCTGTCCAGGTCCCACAGGGAGACAGGAAGAGGAAGGACGGCCTTCTGTCCACACCAGGAAGAGTGGCCAGGCACCCAGCCAACACCTGCTGGCCAGCTGGGATGAGTGTTTACTGTAAAATATTTCTTACAACATTGTTCCATCCTACCCTTTGGAGATCAGCTTAGAGGCCGAATGGCTTCACAGGAGAAAGTCGTGCAGAATATTGTGAAATTTTCCTTACTTTCCCAAAGGGAAAGGAACACTGACAATATCTAAACTAATTAAACCAAGAGACAGCAGTATCGGGAAACTAGAAAATAGATTTTACATATCTATATAGTGTGTGTGTCTTTGGCTGTATATTTCTTTTTTATTTAAGGGCTGGTAAAACCAGAAAAACAGTTACCAGAAATAGATATTTTTTTTGCCTCAAAAACTAACACTTTTAAAAAATAAAAGCTGTAAATAACACATACCTCCCCCAATATATTAGAACTCTGGTCTCCTATCTTAGAAACAGAATTCTGTTTTGTCTGTTGTCAAAATGAGCCACAGGCCTTAGATAACAGAAGACACCAAGCTGCTGTTTTCTTTAAACAAAACCTTTGCTGTTTTCACATTTACCATTTACTAGTTAGTTGTTTTCTCTTTCTCTGGCTCGCTCGCTTGCTCTCTCTCACACATGCACAACTCACACATTCACACACACGCACGTTCACACACACACATAATCACACTCGCATACACATAACTCACACACATTCACACATCCTCACACCCTTGCATGTGTACACACACACACACACACACACACACACACACACACACTACTAAGCTGGCTAGTAAACCAGGATAAGGAATTGACTCTGCGTTCACCTCACCAAAGCCTGCCTCCTGACCCTGTGGGGAGGCTAAAAACTATGAGCCACATTGTAAGTCCTTGGCACTGAAGAAGTAGCTGTCTGTGTCTCTAGTGCCAGCCCCACAGCCTTCCACAGCCTCTGTGTCCCCCAACACAGATGGTTATGCTCAGGTAGACAGTGATTACATTAGCTTAATGACTCATTAGGCCGCCATCAGAGCCACCTCTTTACAGAAGGCAGCCCGCGAGCTGCTCTGCAGAAACAAGGCAGGGCCCCCAGCTTGTTCGCAGGCTCACAGGGGTTAATCGTTCTGGAGTCTGTTTCCATTCCTGGCCCAGACTGAGCAGGTATTGGAAAACAGTGTCTATTTCCAGGTTCCCTTGACAACCTGGGTAACCCCGGACTTTGTCTAAATTACCACTCGTGAGCCAATTCTGGAGTTCTACATGGTAATTCGATCAAGTCATCTTCTCGATGCCCAGGGCGAGAGCAAGTTTGGTCAAGTAGCCTGGACGCAGATCCCAGGGATGTCCATCTAGGCACTTTAAGCAAGTTCATCCCAAGTGAGAGCCCTTGTTCAAGAGACTCAGCACTTGAGCTTCCAAAGGCTTGGTGGATGTTTCTAGACCTTCTCGCCCAAGACTGGGGGAATTTTCAAAACTACAGTCCCAGAGGATACCCTTCCCCTGCTCCTTTGTAGTTCTCTGATCCTCATCCAAGCTTGGTAGAATGTGAAGTGCTCTCAAGGGTTAAAAAAGAAGGGAAATGGGCTACCCCAGAAGGCTGGAGTAATGTGGTCTCCATATGGACTGGAGTAGCCAAGGGAGGGTCTTTATCCCTCACTCAGAGTACTTGAGAGTAGGGAAATGAGTCCCAAAGCACACGGAGATGTTTCTTGTTCTGGTCTTCCGCTCTGTAGACGGCCCCCAGCAGACACAGGTCAGGTGAACTGACTCAGTGTACCCGTCCAGAGCCCTCGTGGAAACTGCAAGGTAAGGCCTCCGTCCACGGCAAGCCCACAATATAGCAGCCGAAGAAAATGATCTGACATTATCTGTACCCATTCCCAGGACTTTCAAGCAAGGGACTCAAGCAGCAGACAACATGTCTAACAGGTGATTTCAAAGGCTTAGTTCCATGGGATCCCAGATGCTTAGTGTTGGCACACAGACACATATACACATGCACACACACACCACATAGGTCACAGTTCATTTAAATGGACCCTCTAAATGAACTACAGTGCCCCTTAGAGAACATGTAACCCATCATAGCAAGGTTTGGTGAGGGGGCATGTCCTGGAGCTCAGCTTCCATCCCTCCAACCAGGCTCCACAGGACCCAATCAGCACAAAGACATAGGACAGCCCTGGCTGCATCTTCTTGCCCAGTGAGATGGGTCTGTCTGCAGGAGAATGGCTGCAGAGGTGGACAAGGCCAGGCAAGGCTTAGGTTAACAGCACTGACTTCAGTCACTACAGCTCCTGTCTGGAGCTGTGGGAGGCTCACAGGACAGGCCCCACCGCACTGGAGAAGGTATCCCTCCACAAGCACTGGCTTACCTGTTGGGATAGGTGACATTACAGGGCACTTTCCCAGTGTAGTTCTCGTTTAGCCAGCGGTTTGCCAGTGCTTGTTGAATATTTGGCCTCTTCACAGGGTCTGGTTCCAGGAGAGAGCGCAGGAAGTTGACGGCCCCTGTGAGACAGTCAGCAAAGAACACACGTTATGGACTGAACACTGTAGACTCTGCAGCTGCGGGTCTGCTTCCTTATCTCCTCTGAGCCTCCAATCTCGGGTCTTTGGAAGGGCTTCGTTTAGATAAGGCACAGATCATGATTTCGGTCCCCACCCTCAGGACCATGCATTTCTGGAACAATCTGTGGGCTCCTGTAGTCACTCAGAGATCAGCCACAGACAAGAACTATTTCCGTGTGGGGGATGAAAGTGCAGAAACCAAGAAAACGCCCAACAGCATGGTGGCGACTGAGCGATCCATCAGGAAGGAAGAAAGACGAAGGAGTTTGAATTAGACCCTTGAGTTTGATCCTTACCGCAGGCACAGTGTCTCGTGAGGTGCTTTCTGGCTGCTTGGTTAGTTGATTGTTTAATGACCCAGGGATTAAACCTGAGCCATCATACACGCCTGGGAACCACCACTGAGCTATGCCCTAAGCCTGAGCCATCGTACACGCCTGGGAACCACCACTGAGCTATGCCCTAAGCCCTACCCTACTTTCTATTTTGAGATCAGCTCTCACAAAGTAGCCCAGGGTGTCCTCGAACGCCCTCTGTAGCCCAGGCAGACGTCTATCTTCCCCACCTCAGCCTCCCTGATATCGGTAACACACACGCATTACTGACAATCTAGTCTTCTTCTTTCAAAGCTATTGTTTACTGCCTCCCACACCTGCCCCAAACTCTGTGAGATTCTAACACAGTGCCCAGTCCAGCCTGGACACATGCTCGCTTAGCCACATGCATCAGGCTGACAGGACAGCAGAGATCTGCATGGTCTAGGTGTTAGGCCAACTCTAACTCTGTAAGTCCTAGTTTGTCACAGGGTTCTAGCAAGCAGACCAAGGCAAACCCGTGCCCCTCTGCTGCTGTCCCTTAAAGGGAAGGAGATGCCTGGGTAGAATGCACGCCAATAGTATTTGCTCTTATTTTCAGCCTAAAGACAAGTGTAAGGAAGGATGTGAAAACCATCGACAAAACTATAAAATCCGCGCAGCCCCTCTTACATCCATCCGCAGCACAAGCAATTTGTTTTAATACCCTGGGCCTCCTCTCACTAAACGAATGTTTACAGAACACCTGTGATCTACCCAGACTCTAGGGGCAGGAAGCTGGATGTCGGTAGCCTTTAAGATCACAATAGCAGAGACAACCAGACAACATGCAAAACCATATTCTGGAAGGTCGCAGGTACAGAACTGTCCAGTGAGAGAGTCTGCACACAGAGTGAGGGTCCACACACAGATAGTGAGAGTTCACACAAAGACAGAGAGTCTACACACAGACAGCCCACACACGGACAGAGTTGAGTGTTCATACATAGACAGAATGAGATTCCACACACAGGGACCTGTTTTCCTGAGTTCTGAGACTCCATTCTCCTGTTCAATGACACCTTATCATAAATGCCTTGCAAGGCACTGAGATACATCTCATCCGGCAAAGTGACTGTCTAGCTTGAAGAAGTCCTGGGATAGATTCCTAATACCATATAAGTCAGGCACAAGCCTATGATCCCAGCACCTGGGAGGTGGAGGCAGAAGGGTCAGGAGTTCAAGGTTACTCTCAGCTACATAGCAAGTTCAAGGCCAACCTCAGGGTAGGATACATAAGGCACATCCTCTTCCCTCTCCGAAGCAGAAAATACTATTCCTTTGTATGTAAGCATGTCTGTATCTATCCAAGTACACATGCGCAAGCAGGTGTGTACACTCTCACGTACGTACATGTATGTAGAGGCTAGAGGACCACCTAAGGTGACTTCGGAAGTGGGCATGGATCTGGGGGAAGTCAGGGAGGGGGTAAATATAATAAATACATTGTATGAAATTCTCCAAGAACTAATTAAAAATGAAGGGGGGAAAGGAATGCCACCCACTTCTGAGACAAGGCTTCTCCCTGACTTGGAGCTCAAGTTAGCGCCAGGATCTTCCTGTCTCCCTCTCTCCAGCCCTGGGATAACAAGCATATGCCCCATAGTGTTCACCACACCCAGCACCCTCATGTGGGATTCGGGAATCAAATTCAGGGTTCTAGGCTTGCAAGTCAAGTGTTCTATCAACTAAGTCATCCTCTTAGGTCCCCCACCAAATACTTCTTTTATTTCATTTTCTATATGTCCAAATCTACCGGATCAAATCGTAAGTCCCAGAATATAATCTCCATTTGCTTTGGCTCCAAATGGCTCTTTCTCTCAAGAGCTCTTCCCCAGGTTTTTAACCGAACAATGTTTATCCAGGAGTGGTCATGGAAATTCACTTTTGCATCTGCCCTGGTTGTCATTTTATACCGTACTTGAAAGAATGAAGGTCCTTCTGTGAGCAGTTTTGCTATGGCGGAAATGAAGGGCCAATTGTGATCAGAATCGGCTCCAGAGGAATAGCCCTTTGCTAAGCCCCATCCGTAGGTAAATTGTGCATGAGCACCCAGCGGATGTGGCCATCTGCCTTCAAGAATACAGTGAGCCAAATGAAGGTTCAGAAGCCATAAGAGCCATGAGGTACATCAGCATGGTCAGACTTCTTAAAAAAGATTCATTTGTGTTCGTTTTATGAATGGTTTTGTAGGCGTGGATGTAACTGCACTATGTGCACACAGTACCCACAGGGTCCAGAAGAGGGCGTTCCCTGGAACTGGAGTTATAGATGGCTGTGAGTCACATGTAGGTGGTGGGAACTGAACCTGGGTCCTCTGGAAGAGCAGCAAATGCTCCTAACGGCTGAGCCATCTCTTCAGCCTCAACACTGTCAGTTTTATAGCTAAGTCTCGAAATAAAATTTTCCTAAAGTCGCCCAAAAAGAGGTTCCTGTTTTGAATGTTTTCCCTCTCCTCGGCTCCCGACAGTACAGGAGTTGCCTGAGGATTTTTGGGGGTTGGAGTTTTTGTTTGTTTGTTGTGTACACCCATGTGAGGGAAGGGACAGAAGCCAGAGGATGGTGCCAGGTGTCCCGCTTTGTCATCATTCACTGAACTTGGAGGCCAACAAGAGCCAACAAATCCTGTCTCTGTCCTCCAGAACGGTGGGTTACAGGCCTATGCACAACTATGTAAGACTTTTCAATGTGGGATCTGGGGATCTGAACTCTGAAGAGCAAGCCCTCTTGTTCACTGAGCTACCGCCCCAACCCACCACTAAGCAGGGGTATCTATTGTTCAAGGACAACGTGGTGGGTTTGATGAATTGACTTGGGTGGGGCGGCTGAGTCAGGGTGCCTTCTGAGCTCTCTGATGCCCACCCCTTTGGATGGGGCGGCTGAGTCAGGGTGCCTTCTGAGCTCTCTGATGCCCACCCCTTTGGGTGGGGCGGCTGAGTCGGGGTGCCTTCTGAGCTCTCTGATGCCCACCCCTTTGGATGGGGCGGCTGAGTCGGGGTGCCTTCTGAGCTCTCTGATGCTCACCCCTTTGGGTGGGGCGGCTGAGTTGGGGTGCCTTCTGAGCTCTCTGATGCCCACGCCTAGGTTACTGGCAGCCATTCACAGCCGGGCCAAGCTTCTTGGAAGAATGATTAATCAGAAGAGCTAAGGGTACCCGGATGTGTGTTTCTGTTCTATTTTCACCACCGAGTGCTCTAAATCTTCACAAACTGCTGATGAGCAGACATAATTTTAGTCCACGTCCCTGCTGATAGTCATACACCTCTGGACGTCACAGGCATCACACCGCTGTCCTGAAAAGACTTTGTGAACATCCTCAGAGTGCTTCCAAGTTTGTCCTTGGATCTTGAAAATATCCGTGTCTTTGGGGCCAAGAGGGATGACGCATTCCCTGCTAACCCAGAAAGTGAGATCTATCATGGTCTCCTGAGAGCTGACCTTTGGGCTTTATACTCGAGCTGAGAGAGTTGGAGCCAAATGGAGGCTCCCTCACCTGCACAAACCAGGAGGCAGGCACCACTGGGGGGCCAACATCGCTTCTTTCAGGAGCAGTCAGACTTCTCGAGTCTGAACTGGCTTACGTGAGCACTGGACACTGCCAAAAGCAAGGGCTGCAGGCACCAGACAAAGGCACCCTAAATTACAGCAGCCAGGCAAACGCAAGCAGAGACCTGTCCTCGAGGGAGGCTGCCCTCTCATCACCTCTCAGCTAAGAATCCTTTCACAATGGATGGGTAAAGCCTTCTTGGAAACCTTAACCGGGCCCAACCCTCAGCAATGCCAACGTTTCTTCCTCGGCTTCTCTCTCCATGCATCTGTGAGACAAAATCCTCTTAATTGGAAGTGTCTGCTTGGACTACATTCGAAATGCTTTTGCTATGGCACCATGACGAAAGAGTAAACTGTTGGGAAACTCTCTCAGCCGCGAAAGGCATTCGTGAACTCTGCTGTGCAAGAGGCAACTTGCAGAAAGCGGAAACCAACTGGAGGAGAGTTGGAAAGGCCCCCAAGGCTGAAGGCTTCCAATTGCGTGATGGGAACATTTCATAGATTAGCAAGGACAGGAGCACTGCAATTTTTTTTCCAACTGAACTTTGCTAAAATAAAAATAAATTAATAAATAAAACTTTGAATTTAATCTAAATGGTAATCATAAGATTTAATTGATGTAATCATTTCAAATAGGGCAGACAGAATATCAAACTAAAGATGATATGTGTTCCTGGTAGAGGTAACATCCGTGCATTTTCAATTTGTAATAACATCACCCAAAACACAAGACCTAAAGACAAGAGACAAGACTTGGAAGTTAGTAGGCTGTGGAGGGGACAGATCATGTGTTAAGTAAGGAAAGAGGGCCAGAGAGATGGCTCAGCAGTTAAGAGTGAGTGCTGTTCTTGCAGAGGACCCGAGTTCAGTTCCAGCACCAATATTAGGTAGACTACCCATAACTCCAGCTCCAGGGGTTCAGACAGACTCTCTGGCCTCTGCAGGTGCTGTACATATATGAGCGTGTGTGTGTGTGTGTGTGTGTGTGTGTGTGTGTGTGTGTGTGGAGTGTGTGTGTGTGTCTTGTGTGCATGTGCACACACATGTGTTTTTAAAAGGAAAGGGAAAATAATAGCATGGTATGAAGGGAAATGTGGGTTTTCAATCAAGCCAATGTAATCACTCTGAGACTCAGGTTCCTCACTGGTAAATTTGGAACAATGGCGTCCACCTTGCCTGACTCAGTGAAAGGGCAGGAATAGGGGAAAGAACTTCATTCTGTTGCTCCAGGAAGGGACTGCTTCTCTTGGAACTGGTAAACTAGTATCTCTGGGTATAACAGCTGATCACAGGGGCACGAAGGCCGACCAGCTTGCTGCACTAGCCTGCTTCTCCTACAGCCTGTGCGTGGCTCACACTAGTTCTGTCCACACATATCTCTGCCTTTTCACCATCAGCACCTGTGGTGGGGTGGCACTGCTCCCTCCCTAGTGCCTGACGGAGGCCATGTGCCATGCATAGAGACAGAAGGCATGACTGGCTTTTACTGCAGGGCAGGGACCTCCTCCTTTCTCTTCTCTGCATGGACCAGCAATGGGGCTGAGATTCCACTTGAGCTCGGACCTCCTCGATCTTTGATCCAACCTTCAATTAATATGAAGCACACAAAGTAAGCCCTTGTGGTCTCAGCCACCGAGAACTGGGGCTGACCGTTATCATCGCAACCCAGCAATTCTTCTCTTGACCACTTGTCTTACAGAAATCACATTCGCAGACACATCTGGAGCTGAATGTTCACAGCAGCCCCAAACTGGAAACACTCCAGCAGTCCTTCGGCGGGTGACGGGCTAAACAAACTGTGGTCTGTCCATTCAGGAGACACAACTCATCAGGGAAAAGAGATCTTAACACGTATTCTCCATCTTCATAATGCCTTCACTTCAAAAACATGAAGAGAAGTGGAGATAGGACAGTGGCCAGTAAGGCTTTGCAGAGCTGGGGGAGGGAGGAGACAATGCCCATACAGGGAGGGGGAGCAGTTCTTGCAATGCAACTGTGTGTCTTGATGCCACCTCACTTAAAGCACCAACACTACCAGCTATCTGACATGTTTATTTATCCACATATATGTGTGTATAGATACACATATATACATGTATGTATATGGTCGCCTCTCTCCACAGATGTATGTGCTCTGTAGGAGCAGAGGCTACATATGGCTCTCTTTCTGGCGTCTAGAACACACCCAGCATGTGACTGGTTGTCATAGACTAAGAGAACGGATATGAAGTGATGAATACACGGATGGATGAACGGACACTTCCCTAGTGCTTTACGGCACCTCTAACACCTCTGAATGCCCAGAAGCCTCGTGTGGCGACTCCTTCAACACGTCGTGAGTTTCCTAACTCCACGAGGCAGGGCCCCCAGTGCAGAACTGTTTCTTCCACAAGTGACTACTGTAACCTCTCTTCCCAAGGACACAACGCCTCCCTGGCTCTCAACCTCCAGGGATTATAATCTACTTGCAAGGTGAAAGTGTAGCTGGATTGGATAACCATGCCCAAGAACTCATTTCAAGTTGGATCCATTGACCAGAGTGTATCTCAAGTCAGTTCCCCAGATGCTTACAAACCCAAGGGGAAAATACTCAATAGTGGTAAAACAAAAAAAAATGTATCAGGAAAGGGAAAATTAAATAATTAGCCTTTCTTTGTCAAAAGCCTCATTTTAGTGGTCCTAGACTTATTCTAACAGAGCAATTAGATGACCTCTCAGGGCCAAGCACAGGCCAGGAACTTGATGTGAATTGTGAACCAAACAAAAGATGGAATCCTATCAATTTACTGAGTCTGAAACCCAATCTTTATTCAAGTCTTTTACTGCAATTTGAAGGGGCTGAAGTATGAGAGAACTTCTCAAAAATCATCTCTGGTTTATTCTAATGAAGTAACCGAGTCCACATATGCCCGAAAGCTTTTGAACGGCCTCAAAACCTGCAGAATAAAACAAATCACGGAGCCAATACTTGAATGAAACCAATGTTTCTCTGCAGTAAACTGGCTGAAGCAAACGAGTCTTTCTGAGGCCGCGCTGCACAGTGTGAGCCTGCAGCTCCTTCTCAAGCAAAGGTGGCAAGGCCTCCTTGCTGCGTGTGGTTTGTACCAGAGACAGAAGGAGGGGATCAGAGCTTCCGAATCACGGTGGAAAGGAGAATGCACATGCGATGGACGGGAAGCCCAGCAGCCTCTCTTGTTTAGACAGGGAAAGGAAATCAGCACAGGGGGAGTCCAAACCTGACAGAGTCCAGAGCAGCAGACACGTTACCTGTGGAGAGCTGGGTGGGGAGCGGGTTCATTTCTTTGTCCACCATCTTCTGGTACAGAGCCCTCAGGCTGAAAGGTTCCACTGTGAAAGGCAGGGTCCCGGTCAACATAGCATACATGTTCACACCTCTGAAAAGAGACACATCGAAGCGTGAGAACAGAGCAGTCCCAGGGTGCAGAAGACAAAGAGCACACAGCCAGCTGAGGCGTCATGTCATGGTCGAGGTGCTGACACCCGAAAGGCTGGGGTGAGAACACTGTGAAGACGTAATGAGGGCCTCAGAGATCAGCAAGAACAGGAAGAGCTGCCTCTGGAGGAGAAACCACGCTGTCTTCACTCTGGATTCAGGCTGAGTATCTGCTGGAAAATCTAAAATGCCCCGAATTCAGAAATGTCTTGACTACCGAAATGATGCCACAAGCAGGAAACGCCCCCTCTGGCTTCATGTGGTAGTGCACCAAGGGTACTATCTAAAATCGCCTTCAGGCTGGGTCTAGAATGTTTATGCAGAACACTAACTAGGGTCCCATGCTCAGAATACTTCATTACACACGTGCAAAGATTTCAAAACCAAAACACAGTTCTGGCCCTAAGCGTTTTTGAACAAGGGACACTCAAGTTGTAATGAGAAGACATCAACACCAGAGAATTCCAAATGGCAGCATGTGGAACACACTCTTAGGGGCCTTAGGAGTGATCCTGCCGGCCTGGAATAGTTCCAGATATGCTATACAAGGTAGAACTTAGAAGGGGCAAGATTAAATAATACAGGGCACCCCTTCTGGGCTAAGAGGGTTCCGGCTTAGCACTCAGCCCTTTGGAACCAAAACTCCACACCCAAAGCCAGTCTTCTATCCATCTCTTGTAAGCGAAGCCACGATACCCATTCCAATCTCTTGAATTTTGCTCTGGGAAGTCCTTCCCAGGCTCATCTCTCAATTGATTCATTATTGGGAATCTGCCACCAGACCCTGGACCAGTATCTCAGCTATGGTTGAGCTATTGATGAGAGGACTTAACTGCTATACCAAAGCCAACCCAGAGAACAGTCTTCTGGGAGGATTTTACTCTCTTGATGTATAAAGCTCCTATCATGTTGATGAGGTTTCCTGCTGGGGAAGAGAGGCCTCCACTCTTCAAAGGCACCCACCCAGGGCGGATATGGGTTTTTTTGTTTTTTTTTTTTAAGAAGGCAACAGGATTTCCAGTCAAAACAGAGCCAATGAGACTGATTGAAATTAAGACCCTTTGGGCCTAATTCCACAGAGGCACCTCTGAATTCTTCAAGCCATATAATGACAGGTACTGCAGCCCACACTGCAGCCTCAAGCACGCTCAGATTCCAGATGTAATCTGAGGCCCAGTTCTCTCTCTGAACTCAGAACGGAGTCAGGGGACAGACACGTTCATTCCACAGATTCTTGCTGGATGCCTCTCTCTGACTGGGAGTTCTGTCAGCCAGACAATGGTACCATTTTGGATTTTGAGCTGGAGAGGAACAGGCAATGGGCAAACACATGAATAAACACAACCCGTTCAAGTAAAAATGAGATCAGAGAGAGGAGGACACTGCTTTTGACACAAGCTCGATTAAGGAGACGGGGCAGCCTCTTCGGGGAGTGTTTTATGTATGAGCTTATACACCTTCAGTCGGCTGGACGAGGCCACGTGACAAATTACATAACCCAAGAGTCAAACAGACAGGGCAGATGCACAGTTACAGACAACAGTCGTTCTTGACATGTGTTCAGTGCAACATGTTCCTCAGGGCATGAAGAGAGGTGAACGAAAAGTTCCACAGCCAAACAAGTTACCTACTCAGCGAGTCACCCTCCCACATACGCGAACCAAAGAGGCTCAGACTGGAGAGCTGGGGAGGGTGGCAGCAAGCACACAGTACTGCTATCAGTCAGAACGAAGTGATAGATTTCACAAAGTAGGCATATGAAGGGATGCACCAAGTTAAAACTCAGAAACCAGACCAGTCACAGTGACAGATAGAACTGAGTAGCTGAGGGAGGCAGTTTGGAAGGGGAGGGGAGGAGAGCCGAGGTTGTGGCTTATCTTAAAGACCTGTTGTGAAGGCTTACGTCTTTGATGTGTTTTTTAGGTAGAGCCAAATGCTTGGCTTTTAGGAAGTCTTCAGCACTGACAGAAAAAAAAAACTAGGAAATCTCAAAACTATGCCCTATCTACGAAGAGGCCTTAGACATAGGCTTTAACGAGTGGAAAACTCTGGCCTCTCCCACGGTTACTGAAGACCACCAAACAGTTACCTCCAAGATGAACTGTTCCCGGAGGCCTGGAGGCGACCTCTCCCGTGCAGGGCTGAAGGAGGACGGATGGCCAAACACTAAGCCAGTCTTCGCCTTCTGTACAGGGCTTCTGGAACAAGTCCAGGTACTCGCCCACAGCCAGGGCTTGACTGTATCCCCATCTGACGAGGAGGAGGCCAACGTGGACTTGATGTGTCAGGGGTGCACCTGCGAGTCTCCTGCTAAGGGCAGTGGCAAACAGCCTCCCAGAGTGGGTCCCTCACTCTGCACACCAGCACCGCCTGAACACGGCTTCCCGGAGTGTGTCCCTCACTCCGCACACCAGCACCGCCTGAACACGGCTTCCCGGAGTGTGTCCTTCACTCCGCACACCAGCACCGCCTGAACACGGCTTCCCAGAGTGTGTCCCTCACTCTGCACACCAGCACCGCATGAACACGGCTTCCCGGAGTGTGTCCCTCACTCCGCACACCAGCACCTCATGAACACGGCTTCCCGGAGTGTGTCCCTCACTCCGCACACCAGCACCGCCTGAACACGGCTTCCCGGAGTGTGTCCCTCACTCCGCACACCAGCACGGCATGAACACGGCTTCCCGGAGTGTGTCCCTCACTCTGCACACCAGCACCGCCTGAACACGGCTTCCCGGAGTGTGTCCTTCACTCCGCACACCAGCACCGCCTGAACACGGCTTCCCGGAGTGTGTCCCTCACTCCGCACACCAGCACCGCATGAACACGGCTTCCCGGAGTGTGTCCCTCACTCCGCACACTGGCACCGCCTGAACACGGCTTCCCAGAGGGTGTCCCTCACTCTGCACACCAGCACCGCCTGAACACGGCTTCCCGGAGTGTGTCCCTCACTCCGCACACTGGCACCGCCTGAACACGGCTTCTCGGAGTGTGTCCCTCACTCTGCACACCAGCACCGCCTGAACACGGCTTCCCGGAGTGTGTCCTTCACTCCGCACACCAGCACCGCCTGAACACGGCCTCCCAGAGTGGGTCCCTCACTCCGCACACCAGCACCGCATGAACACGGCCTCCCAGAGTGGGTCCCTCACTCCCGCACACCGGCACCGCCTGAACACGGCTTCCCGGAGTGTGTCCCTCACTCTGCACACCAGCACGGCCTGAACACGGCTTCCCAGAGTGTGTCGGAGTGTGTCCCTCACTCCCGCACACCAATACCGCCTGAACACGGCCTCCCGGAGTGTGTCCCTCACTCCGCACACCAGCACCGCCTGAACACAGCTTCCCGGAGTGTGTCCCTCACTCCGCACACTGGCACCGCCTGAACACGGCCTCCCGGAGTGTGTTCCTCACTTCCGCACACCAGCAGCACCTGAACATTTGAAAGTACACATTCCTGGGCCGGCTCCAGACTCAGAGTCAGAAACACCCAGACCAGGCCTTGTCATGTGTGGTTTAACAATCCTGCTGGGGCCAGTGAGATGATCCAATAGGCATCGGTGTTGGCCAGGCAAGCCTGGTGAAGTGTGTGTGAGTGCCAGAATGCCCGTAGAAGATAAAGTAGAGAAATGACTCCACAGCAATGTCCTCTGATTCCACATGCCACTGAGATGTGAACCTCCTCTCCTCTCTCCCTCCCTCTCTCTCTCTAACACACAAACACAACATACACAAATGTACTTAAGTGCAATAATGATGTTTTTTTTAACTCTCTGAATGCACTCTGCTTTAAAATCCACTGGGAGGATAAAACATAGACGGTGGGAGAGTCAAGCCATCATAATGAGTCTGACAGGAGGACTGCCAGGGAGGACTGCCGGGGAGGACTGCCAGGGAGGACTGCCTGGGAGGACTGCCTGGGAGGACTGCCGGGGAGGACTGCCGGGGAGGACCACACAGACTACAGATCGCAATCCAGCTCCTCTTCAACATTGGCCCCACTGCATTGTGTTAATATCCTCATTGGAATACGCGGGGGCTCCTGTGTCTTTGAGTTACCAGAACGTAATTAGTTTGGGCGTTTTAGTTATACAAGGCCACACATTTATTGATATATAATTCTGGATTTATGTGCTCATAACACTTAAACAAACCAGAGAAATACCTAAGTCAACATGTAAAGACATCACATGTTCTTCGGCTCAGAGGGCAGCATACAACACTCGAGCCTGAAGACACTGCCCCGTCACCTTTCGTGTCATAGCTCATCTGCTGGGGACGTGTGGCTTCTTTGTCACAGGTAGAATGCTCTGAGTGCTATAGGAAGCCTCCAGCAGCAGGATGCTGTGCGGTGGGTTAGGACCCAGCTGAAGGCAGGATGCTGTGTAGTGGGAAAGGACCCTGTTGAAGGGATTTGTTGGAAGTCTGAACCAAGAGAAACTCTAAAACTATTGCAAAAGTTTCTTCTGGGTGACCTGAAGACAGAAAATCACTTGACTTCTTATCAACAGTTGGCTTCAAAGAATAAGAACTAACAACCAAAAACAAAACAAAACACCAGCTTCCTGTGTCACTGCATAGCACACTGGTCTCTGTCTCCTCCTTACATCCCCTGGACCACAGATAATGATGAGAGATACTGTGTTCAAGACGGCGCCAGGGAACTCCAAGCAAGAGCGTGACTGCCTTACCAAAAGGCTTCCAGTTATTATGGATTATTATCAATTACAAACTCACAGACGTTGAGAGATTCCTCTCCCTTCATCCCAAGCACGAAGGCCAAATAACTGAAACCATAGGAAGAGTTGAGTGCTGCATCTGGAGTAAATTAAACACCAAATAAATCTTCTCTGTTGTCACATTAAAAACAAAAACAAAAAGGAACAAAAAAAAACCTCATCTTTTTAAATAAAACAACAATAAGAAATACAATTGTTTTGG